TATTTAAAATATACTTTTTATTGCATGCAACCCCAAAGTTCATAAGTTTGAAATTAATATATGGCATAGCTAGGCGGCCTAATATTTATGATTGTTGATGTGCATATTGAGGACTACGGAGACAAAGATGCGTTATTCGTGGATTCATCAGATACTATCCAACAACACTCTCCAACTTAATTGGCGTGAAGTGGCTTAGTAACATTAAGATTATATTCTCGAATTATTAGTTCTCATCTTTTATTGATTACACACTTAATTCGATAGCATTTGGAAGAAAAAATCAATGTTCGAACTAAGATTGTGATTTTGGTCTTTAAAGGTCAATTGTATGTTGCTACATCTAGAGTTAGAAATCTCAAAGGTCTAAAAATTTTGATCCGTGGTGACTCTAAAATTGTAATTCAATTACTATTGTAGTTCACTAAGTTCTTAAAAATTTGTAATATTAAATACTATGTACTAAATTTTTAATATAGTTTAAGATTTGTAGTAATCACCCACCTTAAATATTATTTTAATTGTAAATATATTTATGTTCATAATTTTATCATAGGAATTCACACATAATAATTATTAAATAACAAAAATTTTATATATGAATAAACCTCATAGAGTATATTTTTATAACATATTTTCTGTGCATCGCACGGGACAAATACTAGTTATATAATATAATATAATAATAATTAGGGTTCGACAAAAAATATAATGGATACAAAAAAAGTTGTTCCACACATGGGTATTAATGAATATCTTTATATATCTTTGTAAATCATCTGTTACAATCTTTTATATTATGTAAATGATTCTTACCTTACTTAGTATAGTCATTAGTCAGGATTATATATTGTAACATTTCTATTGAGATATTGAGTGAATCAAAGGTTTACACTTATATGGTATCATATTGTTAGGCCTATTTTTTTTTTCTCTCCATCTTCTTCTTCGATCCTTCTTCACCTCTTCTCCGATGGCTGGGAATTCATCCGAACGGACGATGAGCGCCACAGCTGCTCCAACTCCGCCGGTCACCGCCCCAAACCACCTCACCTCGGCTCACCATTTTGTGTCCATCAAGCTTACAACACGCAACTATCTCTTCTGGCGTACTCAACTCATTCCGTTCCTCCGGGGCCAAGGTCTTCTCGGCTTCGTTGATGGCACCACACCATGCCCATCGGCGCTGGTTACCACCACTCCAGTTGACGGCGAGAACATCTCCGATGAGGCCACATCCACGGCTGCCAATCCGGCCTTCTCCGCATGGATTCAACAAGATCAGTCCATTTTATCATTGTTGATCTCCTCCCTTTCCGAGGAGATCATGTACCTTGCGGTCGGTCGCTCCACCGCACGGGAGGTCTGGTGCTCCATCGTAACAGCCCTCGGCTCGTCGACAAGAATCCGTTGCCTCAACCTCCTTGGCCAGTTTCAGGCGCTTCGTCAAGGGGATATGTCGACTGCCGAATACCTCAGCCGCGCCCAACTGCTTGTCGAAGACCTTGCCCAAGCCAGCCGGCCGATGCCACTCGACGAGCAGAATCTGTATGTCTTCAGGGGACTCCGGCCGGAATTCCGGGCCAGCCAACTTGCACCTCAGAGAACTTCCAATGCCATCAAGCTAAGGTGTGTTCGAACATATGAAATCCCTGACCGAAAGGGAAGGGAGAGTAGTATCAAATGCAAAGAAGTCATTTTTCACGACAAGGAGGTATTGTTTTCTATAATGTTATAATATTATTATCAAGTTTCAAGGCATATGTAATGGTCTCTAATGTTTATAATGATTTGCAGGGAAGTTATTTGCATGAACATATACCTAGAGAATACATTAGCAAGTTTCAAAATACTTTCAAAATACATTAGGCTATCCTGCTTCCTTTAAAGGGTATCGTTGTTTAAACCTTGATACTGGAAAAACTTTTATCTGTCGTCATGTCCGGTTTGACGAAACTGTTTTTCCTTTTTCTACAGCTTTAAAAGAACAGGATGCAGTGCAGTCAATTGATCATAATGTGCCATGGGGTTCAGGACCAGTTATATCATCCACTAAGGTCCCTTTAAATCCTCCGGTTCTTTCTGTAGCCGCGCCACCAACCGCTCATGGTCCCCATCCTACTCGGAGACGTAGGGTTGCTAACACACAACCACGCGCTCATGTGATGCGTCTTCGTCGTATGACACATGGCACTAATGAACCGTTTCATGCTCTTACAGTGACCAACGGTACTACTGATCCCAGTTGTTACACCCAGGCTGTTGGTCATCCTCAATGGCGTGATGCCATGGACCAGGAATTTAATGCCTTGCTACACAATCACACATGGGACCTTATTCTTGCAACACCGGGCATGAATATCATTGGTTGTAAATGGGTTTATCGCACCAAACGCAAGGCAGATGGGTCTATTGAACGCTACAAAGCGCGACTTGTAGCAAAGGGGTTTAATCAGGTCGCAGGGGAAGACTTCTTTGATACTTTTAGTCCTGTGGTCAAACCCACAACTGTCCGGCTTTTGTTTTCTCTTGCTGTTTCTCATAATTGGACCCTTTGTCAACTTGATGTTCATAATGCCTTCTTAAATGGGCATTTAGCTGAAACTGTATTCATGCGGCAGCCACCAGGGTATGAGGAATCTGGGCATCCTAATCATGTGTGTCATCTTCGACGTTCTCTGTATGGGCTTAAACAAGCCCCGCGTGCTTGGTTTAAGCGTCTTCATGATTTTTTGATTGCTACAGGGTTTTTGGCCTCCAAGACCGATGTGTCTCTTTTTCATTACTCTTCTGGGTCTGCTCGTGTTTTTCTACTCGTTTATGTGGATGACATTATCATGATGGGCAATGACACCCCACTTATTAACACTCTTATCCAGCGTCTAGCAACAGCTTTTAAAATCCGGGATCTCGGTCAACCATATTTTTTTCTTGGGTATTGAGACACTTTTCAGTGAAGGGCTTTGTTTACTCTCGCAGCGCATATATATGAATGATCTTTTAAACAGGGCTGGTATGACTGATTGCAAACCACTCACAACCCCGGCTTCTATTACTACAACAGTCACTCCGTCTGATGAGGGTTTTGACAATCCTACTCAATATCGTCGCTTGGCAGGGGCTCTTTAGTACTTGACTATTACTCGTCCGGATCTCTCGTATGCTGTAAATCGTCTTTGTCAATTTATGCATGACCCAACAGTTGATCATTGGATCCTTCTCAAACGTGTGTTGCGATATGTTAAGGGCACTTTAGACTATGGGCTACGTCTATCTCTCTCGCCATCCTCTAACATTCACGCTTACTCTGATTCTGACTGGGCTGGCTGTCCTATAGATCGCAAATCCACTAGTGGATATGCAGTTTTCCTTGGCAACAACTTGATCTCCTGGGTTTCACATAAACAACGCACTGTTGCTCGCTCGTCCACTGAGGCTGAATACAAAGGATTAGCGGACGTTGCCGCTGAGGTCACATGGGTCGTATCACTTCTTCGTGAACTTGGTCTTCATTCTGGTGCTCCAGCTACTCTTTGGTGTGATAATCTTGGTGCCACCTACCTTTGCGCTAATCCTGTTTTCCATGCTCGGACGAAACATGTTGAAATTGACTTTCACTTTGTTCGTGATAAAGTAACATCTGGGAATTTTATAGTCAATTTCATATCCACCAAAGATCAACTGGCTGATATCTTTACAAAACCGCTTCCGGCTCCGCGTTTTGAGGTTCTACGCAGCAAGCTTAATGTTGTGTCTCTCCAACCTTCAGCTTGAGGGGGTGTATTAATGAATATCTTTATATATCTTTGTAAATCATCTGTTACAATCTTTTATATTATGTAAATGATTCTTACCTTACTTAGTATAGTCATTAGTCAGGATTATATATTGTAACATTTCTATTGAGATATTGAGTGAATCAAAGGTTTACACTTATAATGGGCTATTTTTCACATAGGAGGGAAGCTCAACCCAACAATATATACATGTGTGATGTTCATTACAAGTTGAAAAATTAGTTGTTAGCTAATAGTTGATTGTCTAGTTGGTTTGATTAGCTAATAGTATTAACTAGTTATAAGAATGTGTTTGATAAATTATTTATTTATTATTAACTGATTACATGTAAAATAATCTATAAAGGTATAAGTATATTGTCCTATTTACTTAACTCTTAAAAGTATTTCTACAATTTTTTGTTATTATTGTTTTATTATTAATTATTTTTAACTATTCCTTTTTGTTTTATTGTAATTCTATAATTATAAATATATACATCGTAGTTAATAATAACTCAATATTAAAAATATAATTTCAAATAAAAATAGAATAAACATAAGTTGTTAATAATAATTCAACATAGCAGTTATCACAATTTACACACACACACACACAAAGATATGTCTCTGTGTGTGTGTGTGTGTATTGATGATTTTGTCGAGACCGGGTCCACCATAAAGCGGGTATGGAAGTATAGAACGATGTGTGAAAAATAGTAGTATTATTGCTTGGGGTGCTAGACCCAAAGAGTACATACATACAAAACCCGAGATACTGGCCCAAAACAGCAGCCCAAATAATAAATGAATGATACAAGCTACAGCAGCCCAAATAATAAATGATGATACAAGCTATAGCCCAAATAGTGGACTAGAAATAATAGTGTTGCTGCTAGGAATCGAATTTTGGCATTTGGGTTGAAGGTTAGGCCCACAAACCATTGGAACATGGGAGGATTGAGTGAATTGAGGGATGACGTCTTAAGAGGAATTAAGGGTGCCTTATATAGTGTAGAGGACATTCCGGATGGTTGCAAATGTACAGTATAGCTAGTCTTCATTCATGGCCACACACGTGTCCCCCACTACCTGGATGCCAACGATCTTCACAAGGGTAAATAGAGTATCCTGCCTTCTTATACATGATATCTTGAGTGGTTTGGGTGATTAGTACTTGTGTTGTTGTTGTTTTTTTTTTTGAACAAACCAAACCAGATTTCATTAATGGGATAATAAATCAGCGATACAATCAGGTGGGATGACATCCCACGACATAGAGACAGACGAAGAACCAGTTGCCCGAGCCAACCTATGAGCCACATGATTCGCTGATCTCCTGACATGACGGGCTTTAATGTCCCCTATGTCCCTAGCAATCGTACGACATTGCTTTACAATCAAACCTATGTAAGAATAATATACCATATGGGAATTAAAAGCATTACAAAATGATAAACAATCAGACTCAATAATAACATTATTATGGTGTAGACCGGATAACCATTTGAGAGCTTCATAAACCGCAAGAGCCTCAGCTTGGAGTGGTTCATGAGTGTGGCTCATACGGCCATTCCTCGCCGCAACAAAACCACCAGTATGATCTCGCAAAACAGCGTCGTAGCCTGCTCCATCCTAGAAGATGGCCGCATCTACATTGCATTTGAGAAAGGCAGTTGGCGGTGGATTCCAAGGAGAATTCTGAATCCGGTTACCCACAGTGGGATTATGAGTTGCGTACGTCTCCTGCCAAACTTGCTGCGTGTTTATGACCTGCATATTGAGCTCCGCTAACGATGGAGTTGCTTGGCGCCAAACAATCGCATTTCGTGCGTTCCAAAGTGTCCACACGACGGCAGCCAACTTGCTAGCCTGCATTGCGTCCGACTTCCCCAGAATGGTTTCCATCATTGTTGGGAAATTCTGTCCCTGTAGCACATCGTTCGCACCCCACAGGTCTGTAGCATAGCTGCATTCACCAAAAATGTGCTCAGTTGTTTCGAAGGGAGAGCCGCAGAACGGACACCCGCCTCCAATCCAGATTCTCTTTGATTTCAAATTTTCGCGGACTGGCAACACATTACGGGCACACCGCCATAGGAGATTTTTCACTTTCGGGGCACCGGGAGCGACCATAAACGGTTCCACGAATGAAAGCCAAAGTGGGAGCCCGTGCCTTCAAGTTGATTCGTGAGTACGCGGTAACCCTGTTTCACCATGTAACAGCCTCGAGCATCATCGATCCAACGCCAAGAATCCTTGAAAGCTTTGCTTATGGGGGTCGAGAGGATTCTATGCACATCCTCCGTTTGGAACAGATCCTGTACCACCCCTACATCCCATTCCCCCTGCTCGTTCATCAGGCCTTGTACTCTCGCCTCCTTGAGCTCATCGATGCATGGCGTATGTAAACCTGTACCTGACGAACTAGCGAGCCAGTTCCATCCCCAAATCTTCGTGTCCATACCATCCCCAATTCTCCGTGCCAAACCTCGTCTCAAGACTTCTTGTCCTGCCACAATGCCTCGCCAAAAGTAACTCGGGTTCGTGCCTACAGATGCTTCTATAAACTCACCTGCTGGAAAATATTTGGCTTTAAGTAACCTGCTTACCAAAGATTCGGGTTGGGTTAAAATACGCCAACCCTGTTTTGCCAATAAAGCCAGATTAAAATTGTGTATGCGTTTAAAACCCAATCCACCCATCGCCTTTGGTTCACATAAACGACTCCAACTGAGCCAATGTATCCCCCGACTGTTAGCACTTCCACCACCCCACCAAAATTGATTAAATAATTTTTCAATCGTGTCACAGACACAAATCGGTAATAAGAAGGTCGACATAGTAAAGATAGGGAGGCCCTGAGCTATACTTTTAAGCAGTATTTCTTTACCTGCCCTTGACAAGAGTTTGTGTTGCCAAGAGCCGATTCTCTCCCGAATTTTGTCCTCAATATACCGAAAGGTGGCAATTTTGTTGCGACCCAACACCGAAGGTAAGCCCAAATAGCGCCCCAAATCATGTGCTTCCTGGACCCCAAAAATGTCACACACTAATCTTCACATACCCGCTGTAGTATTGGTGCTGAATACGGCATTGGATTTTTCGAAGTTGACTAGTTGACCCGAAGCCGCACAATACCCATCCAAACATTCCTTGATTTTAATAGCTTCACGTTGGTTTGCCCTAAAAAACAACAAACTGTCGTCAGCAAAAAACAGATGGGTGACATCAGGGGCACCACGTGCCACCCTCACCCCATGAATATCACCACTAGCCTCAGCCTGTTGTAAGAGCACAGATAACGCTTCAGCACACAAAATAAACAAATATGGAGATAACGGATCCCCTTGAAGAATGCCCCGAGTGGGACAGATAGACCCCACTGCCTCCCCATTGACAAGAATAGTATAAGTGACAGTAGAGACACATAACATCAACAACCTCACCCACTGATTCGAAAAGCCCATCGCCAACATGATCCCCTCCAGAAAACCCCACTCCACTCGGTCATACGCCTTAGCCATATCTAGCTTCAGCGCCACCCACCCCAAATTTCCACTGACCTTTCTATGTAGATAATGCCCCACTTCCCCGGCTACTATAATGTTATCTGTTAACAATCTCCCGGGGACAAAAGCACTCTGGGACTGTGATACAACATGTCCCAACAGGTCTTTAAGTCTGTTAGCCAACATCTTGGCCAAGACTTTGTACACAACATTAAATAGTGCGATCGGACGTAAGTCAGCCACCTTTTCTGGTACTTTCTTTTTTGGCAACAGCACTATATTAGACGCATTTAGGTCTCGGGAAAGTTACAATCGGCAACACACTTAAGGACGAACATAGACAGATCATGGCCTAGTATTGGCCAAAAGTGCTGATAGAACGCCGGAGACATACCATCAGGATCAGGAGCCTTTTCCGGAGTCATGGAAAACAGAGCCTCTTTCACGTCCGTAGGCGTGAAGGGCCGTAAAAGAGAGATATTCATCTTGTCTATGACACAACGACGCATGCGGGGGAACAGCGTGTTATCGCTGGACCCCGAGCAGAAAATAATATTGTAATACCTTAAAACTTCAGAATGCATAGTCGCGCCCTCCTTCCAAACCCCGTCTTGATCCATCACTCGTTGTAGATAATTACGTTTTTTATGTGCCGAAGCCGTCTTATGGAAGTACTTCGTGTTGGAGTCCCCGAGCTTAAGCCAAAGTTGTTTAGACCGTTGAAGCCAAAAGATCTCTTCTTGTCTCAATAAGGTTTCAAGTGCTGCCCTAGTCTCCAAAAATTCCCTCACTGCCTGCGGATCCCTATCCTCTTTCAGAACAGCCAATCGGTTCCGGTGATTCTTTATCCGATTGCCGAACTGTCTTGAATAGTCCCTGCCCCACCTCTGTAGCTGTTGACCGCAAATCTCAATTCGGCGTTGAAAATCCATGCCACACGACTGCCCCCACGCCGCCTCAACCACCTTCGCACAGCCTTCATCCAACAACCTCGCAGACTCGAATTTAAATTCCCTTCTCGCATGACGTACCGGACGCGGTTCCATGTCCACGAAAATAGCACTGTGGTCTGAGTTTGTTGTGAAAATCTTCTGAACCTCTGCATCCTCGTGCGCCTCCATCCACTCCACCGTTGCCACCGCCCTATCGAGTCTTTCCTCCACCCATGCCTCGGTGCCATGGCCCTTTGACCATGTGAACCGACCTCCCGACATCCCCAGATCAATCAAGTTACAATCACTCAGAGTATCATTGAAGCCATCCATGAGGGCCTCCGGCTGCGAATGGGTACCCCATTTCTCGGAGAGGCATGTTATGTCATTGAAGTCTCCCACAACGACCCAAGGGAGTGATGAACGGCCCTGGAGTTGTCGTGGGAACTCCCAAGTGATATGTCTCCGAGACCTGTCAGGTTCCCCATAAAAATCGGTCAACCTCTACATCGGCTTACCTGGTTGCTTAATTTCCATATCAATATGGTTTACAGAGTAGCTAAGTATCGAAGCCGCCTCTGCGTCTCTCCAGAACATTGCTAGACCTCCTCCCCTGCCCACACAGTCCACTGATATAGCCCCTTCAAACCCCAGCTTCACCCTCACCTCCTCAATTCTGTCCGCTTTTGCTTTTGTCTCCGTTAAGAAGACGAAAAAGGGTCGCTCCTTAGACGATATGCCCAAGAGTTCTCGAACTGTCCGGGTGCCACCCAAACCCCGGCAGTTCCAACTGAGGACATTCATTGGCTTGGGCGAGCCTGGCTCTCCAGACCCGCCGACATTGACATTTTAGGATTCTCTGACATCATAACATCCTCTCCAGTCGCAGTACCCTGACCAATCTCCCCTTCCTCCTCACGACGACGCTTCAGCTCGCCCTGTAACCCAACACTCTCCACGGCTGTCACCAGTGTTAATGGTGAAGGGCCCGCAGCTTCGGGGATCGTTGACTTCTGTAATGTAGAAGGCAGGATCCATCTTGCCCCCACTGGTCGCACTTAACGCCGCGCCCTTGCCCGCATCCAACTCCCGAAAGGGAAGGCCTCAGGGGGAATGTTCTCTTCATACGCTTTCTTATAGAACTTGTCTATGTGACCCAGTAATCCGCAGCAAAAACAAAAGGCACTCAGCCTTTCATACCGGAAATTGATCCACTGGGACGAACCATCCTTGCGCAGCAGCTTCATCCGACGTTTCAAAGGTGTAGCTATCGACAATTGGACTCTTATATGAAGAAAACTCTTCCATGACCCCCCAAAATTGACGGGATCGATCGCGATGAAGGAACCCACGTAATCCCCAATCTGAGCCAGGAAATCCGATGAGGCATACAGAGAGGACAGGCCGTGAATTTGGACCCAGAAAGCCAGTGATTCCAATTTGGTGTCCTCCGGCCTAGTCCCCGCCGGAACCCGATCGCACACAAAAATTTGATTCTCGAACGACCAAGGGCCGTCGTCGAGAACCCTCTGTAAATCTTTCGGATGGGGGAACCGGAATAGAAATAACTCATCCGTCAACGCCTCCGCATGCATGCCCATTACCGGTCTCCATATGACCTGGAGCATATGATCGAATTTGATTGGTCGCTCGGTAAGAAAATGCCCAACCAAGCAGTGGTGGGTAGTCGCCGTCCCGGATTGTGTAAGATCTGGGACCGCTAGTTCGGATATCTCCTCCTCGACAATTGAAAGATCGGCACAGCGCGCTTCGATTTGTTAAATATCCATGATCGGAAAAGATTTGAGGACCAGAAGACAAAACAGCAGTGAGATAAACATCAACGAAACAGAAAATATATAAAAACCCCTAGACCACTAGGGAGATACTCTCCTAAACACGATAGGAGAAAGGGCCACGCACGGCGATTCCGATCAAGGCCACGATCGGCGATCACGATTTGGTGTTACGAAATTTGCGGAGCATGTGGTTATATATTTTAGTTTTAATTCCAATAGGATACATCGTACTTGTGTTGTTATGTTAGAGGTTATGGGTTTGATACCCCTTGGTAGAACTTCTTTTAATATTTTGCTTCATGCTTCATTCTTCACCCCCTAATAAAAGTGAACCCCCACTTGGGCTCAGACTTTCTTAATAAAAAGAGCTCTCGGGGTCCGATGACCCCATCATTAGTCCCCCACTTTATTTGGATGTCTTTGACGGGCAAAGAAAATATAAACACTCCCGACCTTGGCTTGACATTCTCGCCTCCTAGTCTGAAAGGTTCCTCTCTCTTCCAAATAGTTTGAAATGCTTGGTCCCTGCCGCCTTCCCTACATGTAGTTTGTTAGGACAACTAATCTCTCATAGTTATCCTGCAAGAAAAAGAAAGTGATTTTTACCGCCTTCCCTCTAGTCGGGGTTATTAAGGTGCATTCCCTAGATGCGAACCGATTGGGCCGATTCCCCTATTTGCAGGCTCTTTGGGCTGCCTTCCCTACATTATAGCCCATATGACATTTTTTTCCTTTTTTTTTAGGCTCAATACCTCACTAAACCTCCTTTCCTACTTGCGGACACGTTGAGCCGTCTTCTCTCTGTGTAAGCCCAACTAGGATTTTGCTTGGCCACCTTCCCTACATGCAGGCCGTTGAGCCGTCTTTCCTAGTTGTGGGCTCCTTATGGAACATTCCCTTTATGCAAGCCCATATGACTTTGTTTTTCATTTCCTCTATTTTTTTTTTCTTTTTTTAATGGCGTGATGCTTTGTTGGGCCACCTTCCTAACTTGCGGGCCCAAAAAAATGATTCTCGACCGCCTTCTCTACATGTAGGCCGATGAGCCGCCTTCCCTACTTGCAGGCTCTTTGGGCCGCCTTCCCTACATGCAGGCTCGTATGAGTCTGTTTTTTTTTTTGAGGCGCAATACTTTGCTGAACTGCATTCCATACTTGTAGGCCTATAAAAGGTATAGAAATGTTTTTTCTTACCTCCTTAGACTTCTTACCTAGCCTGTGAGGCTGTTTGGGTGTTGTTTGCTTTATCGTCTCTTGTCTAGACTATGGAGTTTCCAACTCGCGTCAAGACCACACTTATCATGTCTGTGTGTCCACTACTGTGTTCGCTTTTATTTTTTAGCAGTTTTTTTAGCCTGCAAGCCCAACCAGAAATATGTTAATGTTTTTCTAATGTAGAAATCTTTTTTCATACCTCCATGGGCTGCTTGCAAGCCCACCAAGGTGCTGTTATTCAGTCTAGAGCCACATATCCAGCCTAAAGGCCCTTAATGGTCGAGGTACATTCGACACTCTCATCGATGGCCCTAGTTACCGCCTTAAACCCCTTGCACTAGGGCCCCCTCATTGGCAGTCCCTCCTCCCAGCCCGTGAAGTTTTGAGTCTAATAAAAAGATGATTTGCTTGAGAGTTCAAGTCAATGACCGGGTATCTAGTTAAGCCGGGTTGTATCCCCCATTGGTAGCCCACTCGTCGATGATGTTAGCTATCTCTCAGGCTAATGTTTGCCACTAGGTCAGACTAATTCTTGGGGAACCTTGGTTAGTTTCGTCGATGGTAGCGTATCCTTCGATCGCTATAGTGTCAGTCGGACTTCTCATGTTCCTTGGGTGGGGAACTGACACTTGCGAACCGGACTGACCCCCGCCTTGCTTGCTAAGGGGTTTCTGTAGGCACGACGAACTTTTACTTTGTAACTCATCCATTTCGGCGTCTCTCGGGTAGAAACTAGGTTAAGTTTTTTTTTTTTTGTTCAATTAATCTTCTTTTGATTATTTGGAACAAGACTCAATATTTTAATTATGATTTTACATTATTGAGAATGATTAAGGTCATTATGGTATTAATATTGTTTGTTTGTATTTCTATAATGGTACAATTGTACATTACTTTACAAATATTGTACTATTATTTTTTATCGAACAAAATTGTTGTTACTTCATTGTCAGACCTGCACGACCTAACTACAAAGTTGATGCTCAGAAATACAACTGCACCTGGACTATAAATGGAGGACCATTATATTGTCCAAAGAATTGACAATGTTGACATCCTACTGGCTCCAATTGAACAAGCAGTTTACACATCATTCTCAGAATTTTATCAATGCACGAAAACTTTTAAAGAAATTTGTAAGTTAATTTTTACTATATCATTATAACAATATCTATTGTAACCATATATTTCGAATTATTTATTATCATCCTCTATTCACAGCAATTGTAGCAATTGTCATT